CTGAAATACGATAAGAAAGTTAATTAGATGAGTAGTAATGCTTGACTGCCCTAATTAAGCTAAGCAGTAACAGGTAGCTATTTGTTTATCTATCATATCTGAATCCTGATTACCAAGAACATGGTCCATAATAGTAGTGCTTAGCTATTACAGATGCAATTATAGTTTTTTGTTTTTTACCCCCAAATAAAGAAATTTCAAGATTACGCGAATCAGATATAGTAGAAAACATGCCCCCAAATTATATTAAAAAAAAAAAAAAAAAAAAGAGTTCGGCCTGCCTCCGTCCAAGAACCATTATTAGAAGGAAGGAGGAAAATCACTCCCCTACCCTGTGCACAGGACAGATAGTGCCAAGCCCATAGGGGACACAAATTAGAAAACAGGGATCAGCTGAATTTTCTCGATCCCTTGCTGCCGGTGTCTTTGACTTCACCACCACATTGATTTAACGAGTTACTAGGAGTAGGATGTTCATCTTGCGTAGGAGTGACCAGGAGCAGTAACTTTCGACTTATCCAATCTCCAAATGCTTTGAGAAAAAGTGCTTTGAATTTCAACCCCTTTCTCTGGATCGGCTGTGTGTAGTGTATGAAGCTTTAAAGATTAATAATGGATGGCTGGTTGACAAACAGGGAAAAATAATTGTAGCAAAACAATTTCAGGCCCGACTCCCCAACTCCCAAAGCAATCAATCAAGTAGATGCTGATTATTTGGACCAATTTCTGACCGAGATGTTAAATAAATTCATTTTATTGTGAGTCAAAAGCATCACCGGAATTCATTCATTCCATCTTGTCTTTGCTTCCCACCTCCTTGATTTATAAATTATAATGCGACCTACCCCATAAACAAGTACTGTAATAATGCTAGTAATAAATTGCTTCGCTCAAATGTTCAATACTACTACTATGAGCACAGAAACATGGGCAAAAGTCTCTGTTTGAATTACCTAACAATTGCTTGGTATGATGTTAAACAAATATTTATGGGAGTTTCAGTGAAAACTAACTACTGGATCATGCATGCAGCTTCCTTTTGCTGCCATTAACAGGCGGCTCGAACTTCAATCTCCAAAAGTCAACACAACGAGAGGGTGGAGGGTGGAGTGTGGGCTTTAAAGAGAAGAGATAACATGGAAAGGCATCTTCATCTTCATCACACCTATCAAGAATTAATTAATACAGGAGCAAACCATGAAGAACGCGACAGCATCACATATCAAATGCTAGTCCCTCCTCGTGATGAGTGGGGCTTGCACTGCACATCAAGTAGAAATGCTATTAATTTATGCAGCAAGCAAGGATTGACCTTGCACTGCACTTCGTTCACACTTTCATTCACTTGCATATTGATGGCTAATTTTGCCCTTTGACATTACATTGAAGTCATTATTTAAGACTCGATTTCAATGCATATTAATTTTACACGCACTTGTGAATGGAGAAAATTCTGATAATTCAAGCATGTTTAACGCGTATTAGTGAACGTATTTGTAATAACATGAATCTGTAACGAACATATATATATATATATAAAAGAAATTTCAGTACTTAAAAAAGCTTAATCCATCAATTAATTAATTGCACAAGTCACTTTCTAGCCATAGATCCTCTGCATCGTTATTATTCCATAATCCCATGTTAGAGAGCGCCACGGGAACAGGAGTGGGTAGAAGAAGAAGATATTCAGAGAACTGTAGGAAGAAAGAATGCCTTGATTCAAGATTGTCAACCTCAAATGAACATCATTCCAACTAAACATGGAGTCCAGTGATAGAACATCATCAAGGACTCCTTCACTCCCTTCAAATTTTCAAACATCTAATACATCTTTGTCATCAAAGATCCTTGAAGGAACGGCAAACCGAGCAGAAAATGATCTGGAGATGTCATCAGGATCAGCCCAAGTCAACCCCTGGTCGAAGTTTTGAGAATAAGTGTGCGGATCATAAGCAAACCTCGTTGAAGTCGAACGGTAGAACGTTCTTTTCTTCTCCTTCTTCATCTTCGTCCACAACTGTCTCCAAATTGGTGCTTTTGATCCGCTGCTTGGTCTTATTATATGGGACACAAATCGACCATAATTTCTGCTGGAAAAACTTCTGCTCCAACAGCAGCAGCAGCACACTTCACCATTGCCCGAGCTGCACCGTGCTCCCATGTCCATGACCAATGTGAATTAATGGTCTCCTCTCTGGACCTCTGGGATTTATGGTTGGTTTGCCTAGGCACGGAGCGTAAATGCAAGGAAGGGGACTATATATAATTGACCAAATGGTGCATCAATCTGATCCTTTTCGGTCGACATCCCCCTAATTATTCTATACATAAATGACTATTATGTAATATGATTGTAAAAAAAAAAAGAAAATGATAGTATATGACTCGATAATTTTCCAAAAAAATAACAGCCCGCATTTAATAATTTTCAGAGACAATAAATGAAGAAAATTTGGAGGGATTTTGCTGAATGTGTCTGGATGCGAAGTGGGATTCCACATTTGTTGCTTCGAGATTTCGTATTCAATTACTTGCTTTATTTTTTAGCTCTAGCGTGGATGAATATTATATTACTTGGGGCGGTCTATGTGTCATTGCGTGATGTAGTAACATGGTCCAGCTAAGAAGTGAGAAACGGGGCATGTGAGATAATCAGAGTAAACTTTCTAGGATTTGGTGGACACATTTAAGATGTTTACCTTATACATCGGTCAGGTCAGGCGTCTTCAAGTTCATGGATCTCCATTTATCATGCAATTAAACTGAAGAAAAAACGATGTAGGGATGTTTTAATTCTAGTAGCTAAAGAGGACTGGCTATTGTATTGAAGAGGCTTTATGGGATTGGATTGGATCACTTGATTATCTAAAATCTAAAATAAAAGCGATTGTTAATGCTCTGTCTATCTTCAACCACAGGATTTACTCCGGGGGAGGGAAGGGATGAGTTGAGTGTCACGGAGGAGGAGGGGACAGAGTATAAATGAAATGTTCTGAATTTGAAACCTTCCGCCAACATTTTAGAAGAAAAAAGATTTATTACCATACACGAATAGTACTTGTAAAACCTTTTTATTAACAGATGGACAACCACAATGCAAATAGATAGGATAAAAAGAAAGTGATGGCCTTCTTTTGTTCTCCTACTTCCTCTTTTTTTTCTCTCTCTTGAATTCCACTTTCATAGTTTTTTTTTATGGTCAACGAATCTCAAATATTTGCTAGATATTGCCCACATTCCGAGTGCTCCTGTACCGAAGCGACTGAAAAGTTGATCGCAGGAGGAGATAATGGTGTGTTTCTACTTTCTATATATACATGTTGGGAGATAATGGAGGCAAAATTTGACAAAATGATCAGTTGAGTGGCATTTTTTTGGTTAAGAATGACCAACGGCGATACATTGGATAGTTTACCGACGTTGGATACCATTTGCTCCCAGAACTATATATATAGAGTTATTGATGAAGTGTACAAAACGCATCAGAGAGTTAAGCCTTGGATTAGCAAGTAGTACAAGAATAACTAAGCAGCAATCCAATAATGTTTCAGTGAGGGAAAATTAACATCATGGTTGGCGGCGGACAGCAAGTGGAGGGAAAATCTTGATCATGAATGCCAGAGGAAGCCCGGCTTTGACATTATTGATATTTGACGTCATGCACGGGGGCTTCTTCAAATGGCTTTCTCCTCCTCCGGCTCGGCTCTGTCTCTGGTCTGGTGGTGAATTTACTGCCAGGAGGACGCAGCGCCTATAAATAAATTATATCGTATTTTATTATATTATTATTACTAGCATAATTAATAATGCAGCAACATCCATCCGTTGGATCGGCTTCGTCGTTTTCCTCTCTTTGGTGTTACTGAAAAATCAGACTCATTCGCTACTGATTCTTCCTTCCATCGAGAAGCCCTTCTGATTAAGAATCCATTGTCTGTGAGTAGAAGAAAAATAACAATAATGATTTCCCCCCGGAGCCACGCGATGCTCCGACGAACATCTAATCTAACGAGTGGTTAGAACCTTCTGTTGGCGCGTCGCCACCCACATCTTCTGATTCCGTTCCAGGCCAAGTGTTACTACTACGACTACTTTTTTACGAGTTCATTTCATGAAGACAACTCCCACACAAGATTCTACCAAAACTATAGAGCGTGCGCCCCACTGCTGCCGTTGCAATCATCCAAAGCAAAAGGGCTGAGGCCTGCGGGAATAGAAAAAGCAATCCCTTTCCGAAAATGTCGTCATATACTAATACGCTGCTGCTACTTATTCCAACCTTTTCTTCGCGTCCTCCCTTTAATTATTCTCCTCCTTAGCCCCTCTTGTAACCAACGCTGCTCCCTAACCATTTGTTCCTGGGAAAGAAAGAAGAAAACATGTGCTGCCCAGGCTTGCAATTCATTGATCCTTTCCACCGTGAAAATCGTCGAGGAAGCCTCCGCAGGCACGTGGTTTCTCCTGCGGAGATGAGGCCGCATCAGCAGCTGCACCAGCACGCAACAGTTGGCGCTGATAGAGGCGGAGAGGTTGCTGATGCTGCAGGTGCGCTGAAACAGTGTTTGTGTTCACCAACGCGCCACCCGGGTTCGTTTAGGTGCAGGCACCATCGTACAGCGTATCAGTGGACTGGTCGGCTGGGACCCCAGAACTTTTCCTGTCTGTCTGTCTGTCATCCAACGGGCCACCCACCCACCCACCCATCCTGAAGAAGATTCAAGATGATCCGTTGTACAAGGTACAATTAACAGTGCCATGTAATTTCTCTCTACCTTCTAATGCTACTACATTCTGAAGCTTAACGAACGCCACCGAGAAATTGTACTACAAGGCAAATTGAGACCTCTTCTCACCTCTTCCAACCCCGCCCACGTTAAATCCAAAATGCCCCCCACGATCAGAGGTTTGCGTCACTGATTGCTGGCCAAAATAGTTGAATTATAAGGAGCATACATACAATTGAAAAAAGGCGCGAGGAAATTTGAAGAGGGAAAAAGTACGCTCGACAAACTGGTGGTTTCTATTACAAATTATACACTGCTAGTCTACATAAGGTTCATATACAGGCAAATCTAACGTAGTTTATACGTGATACATATGCTGCAGCATCATCCTTAGTTTTTTTTTTTTTTTTTTTCTCCCCGTAGCTGTAGGGAATGTAATACGCCATAATCTAGTAGTAAAGACAGCTATCAGTTAGCTAAAACAGGGGATCCAAACCCAAATCTCTCACTCATCGTAGACCTCTATACTAAATGAGGAACGGGAGTTTGTCAAAGCCAACTCTGGAGCTGCTGCATGTGGTGGTCTCCAAGCTTAATCATAATCACTGCCCAAAGAAGTAGAAGAGTTAGTGATGCCATACCGGGAAAGGGCCACTCAGTAAATCTACAAATAAATCTTTCACAGTTCTTGCTACACCAGGCTGCATTAGACCTCAGGTAGCTATCCGTTTCCTTAACAGCAACTATAATGAGAGAACAAATGCAGAGGCGGGACGATTAACACACACTGGATGCTTACCTCAGGGTAACAGTTTTGGTGCTCGATTGTCTGATTGTGGATATTTACATTAATCTCACATGACACTTTCCCCTGCAGAACACCATAAGCAAGCACATCATAAATCAGGGGCACATATCATCTGGGGAAGCATGAAAAGGCTAATCATGAAGTCCCATTTGTTACGTCTTCCTTGGAGTTATGCTTCTGTAACAGAAGAATAGGAGGACCAGGCAGCCCAACCCACGCAACTTAAAATGGACGTGTTCTTTGAAGGCATTATTGGACATATACTTCTGTCAAAATTGACAAGCAATGTACATTAAACAAAAGGATTAATCTTTATATACTGCCCAAGTTTGGATGCGCGACAAAAAATCTAATATTGAACTTCAAATCCAAATTTTGCATATGTTTTATGCATCCAACCATGATAACATATACGACGTCAATGTATACAAGATTTTCTCTATACAAATTGTGAACAATACAAAAGAAGGCCCAAGGGAGCTTAACAGATGATGCTTTCTCATTAGATACGATTCCCACAAGACATGAATGAAGTTTCACCGAGCATCATAGATTGCATTTCAGAATGTCGGATGCTGGCATGGACGAAAGAGTCCATATGCTAGTACCTAACAATACTCAAAGACCTGCTTCTGTTTAGTGCATGCACGGATGCTTACCAGCCAAAACTCATTTCTGTTTATAGGAACTTTAAAAACTTCTAACTACTACTTTACTTGTTCACAATTTGCAGCATCCTTTTCTCCATCGGTAGAGCAAGTTATACCGGTTATATTAGTAGTTAGTGTTCTTGCTTATACATTAATAGACTTACAAGAACCCAACGTCTGTTTGGCTGGTAACCAGAGCATACTACTACGGGGGAAGTTGATTCTCTTTGTTTCAATTTTCACTGCAGATACACTCAAAGAAGCACAAGGAACGGTCTCAAATAGCATTCAGAGAGTTTGGCACAAGTACAGGAGGAAAATTTCCAACAAATGCACTCAAACCAAACAAGGTTTTAGACTTTCCCTGATCTATATCTCCACCTATCGACAATTCAACTAATCACCCAGCTACGCCAATCCAACTTATCAACCTACGAAGCAGATTCGATTATTATTTTCCCGCATGGCAGGCATTTTCACAGAATACATCCTCTACTTGCTATGCTTCTCGACTTAAACATTTTAGTCCAAAGCTAGCAGCTCAAAATCCCTAAAACTTGCCCGGTAAAGTCTCAGACAAATCTTGTAACAGAATAAGCATTCACGTACTAAACAGAGGCAGAATAAACCATTCAATTTATTATTATTATTTTTTTGCCACAAAAAACCAGGAAGTAAAATGTACTGAGTTGAAAGCAAAAAAACTGACCTGGAGAGGAATCTCAAAGAAGGCGAGGCCGAGCTGGCCACCAATTTTCGTATCCGTATCGAACGTTATCTCTCCCGTAGCTAAGTCCTCAATTAACAGAAGCATATCCGACAAAATGTTGACGCCGCTCAGGTGAACCGTAGCATTAACATACGACGAACCCCTAGCTTTAATATGGCCGTGATCCGAGGTGGCGTAGCCTAGCTGCTTCCCCCGGTACCCGATCGCAACAATAAGGGATTTATAGTCAATGGAGAAAAAATCTCTGTTCCGAATCTTGACAGTGACGTCTAGGGTTATGTCGAGGGAGGGTATGGGAAATAGGTGGATGCCTAAGTGATCGAGGCGGAGACGGACGATGGAGACCTCCGGGTCGGATGGCCACAGGAGGAAGACGGCTAGACCCAGGAGGACGAGAGTGAGTAGGCAGATCAAACAGCGTCGCCAAGTGCGGCTGAGGTGTAACCGAGGGCGGCGGTTGTTGTAGTAACGGGGTAAAAGAATGATGTACTGAGGTTGTTGGGGTTGCTGGTGGGGGTCCGACGGGAGTTGTTGGTAGTAAGATTGTGGAAAGCGGGGCGACGGAGGAGCGTCGTCGGAGCGTTTTGAGGAAGTCATCAGTTTGGTGGGACTTTCGGGGTTGCGTGTGGGAATGCGGAAACAGAGGGAGAGAGGAGGAAGCGTGGCCGGAGATATAGCGGGGGAGTACTCAGGTCTCAGCGTGGAGTAATACCAATGGTCTGTCAGGTGATGTGGGCCATTGTTGGATGAACTTTGTCCAGATGATGACTTTTTACCTTCTTTTTAGTTAATCTTTTGTTTGTTCGCTTATTTATCTACTGGGCGCGTGGAGTTTAATCATTTGTAGTAGTAGTAGTAGTATTTTCTCTCTTTTCTTGGTGTCGGGGGGTTTTTTTTTTTGACACTAGAGCTTTTCCCAAAAAAAAAAAAAAAATTTCTACAACAAGATAATTTTATAATTGTGAGGGTTAGTCCAGTAACTATGCTGGCATTTGGTAAAAGGGTTTCGAAATCATGATTTGGAATGGACCCATATTAAATGAAATTGTTTAGATTAATACTATTGAAATGAAAATTTTGAAATCATTTCTTAAAATGTAGAATTCCCCAAAACCCAAGTAGTTGGAGAGAGTTTTGGACAAAACTCTCAAATTCCATTCCTATCTTAACATAACAAAAACACCCTCTATTTTTTTTTTTTTTTTTTGGTTCAGAAAGTAAAATTTTTCTTTTTAATATTCAATACAAAAAAAAAAAAAAGATTACTATTTTCAGAAGTAAGTGTGAAAAATTGATCTCCTGCTTAAATAATCACAAATACTTATGTTACATTCGTTTGAGAGCGTAACCGGCAAAGATTACTTGCCTGGAATCGTATGATGCTATAATCTTTGGGGGCGTATGATGTTTTAGAGCTGCTTTGCATCTTAAGAACCATTCATTTTGATGCTGGGGTTCTTCAGTGCATCGAACAAACTAGAACACAAGTTAGCAATACAAGAGGAGACTAAATTAGGAGACAACTCACTCAGGGTCACTGGGGCTGTGGGAGTAGAGGCAAAAAATGCTTTACTAATAGTTTCTGTTCAGTTTCTGGAAAAAGAGCCTAAATTGGAAATGGGCTGAGCACCCAAAGTCAGTTAAATCCTATGATAATGCTAACGGTCAGTCAAAGTAGTTAATGTCGCATAGCTTCAAACCTACCATTCTCAATTCTATCTTCATACTTGGTCTCTCATTGCAGTTTTCAGAGCGTAATATTTCATGTGTTACACTATGACTCAAAGCATCAAATAACTGCAAGAATACATGACATTTACTGGTTCATTGATTGATAGTAACATTTCCATCGGAAAAGAAAGATCAAATCTTTAATGGCAAGACCTGGCAACAAGATCATCCATGCCAAGATGGTGAGTGCGTCCTTCTTAAAGTGACTTTTGATCTGTAAGGCTTGTTTGTTCATAATCTTTTGGCTGATCCAAATATCTCTCTCTAATTTTTGTGGGGTATTTGTGTGGATTCTTGGTAGTTTATTGTAAAATCATATTATGTTTCTTTGAGGAGTGAATGCTTGGCTTCTAAACCGCTCAAGCCCATCATTATTGAAAATATCTCGTCCAATTTAAGCTAGAATGCACTATTAAATGCAAACCTGAGGTTAGATTTTCTGTGATCCACTAAGCTGTGATGGACTGTTTTCCTAAAATGACGTAGTAGGTACTTTTCTTAAGGGACAAACAATCTCCCTATTCATGAATTGACTCCATTGTTTTAGTACCAAGATTCTCCTACTGCTTGTGTAGCTAATTGAGCTAAGCTGATCAAGAAGCGGTGATCAGTCCGAACTTGGTGATGTGGATTGGAATTTGGCGTCGTGCATTATGCTTCATGATAATTTTAACACATCAATTAGATTTTCAGAGCAAGTTATCGATGCTTGCTTTGTCACTCCAATGTCTATTTGTGTATTAGTACTTTGTAAAGTTCTAAGGACAATCTCCCAAACATAATCCCACACTGGACACGAAATGCTATTATATGGCAGATCATATCCACAGACTCAAGATGTGGATGCATTCTTGATTGTTGTTCTGGTGGATGCAAGTCTTTGACAACGGTGGATGTATTTGCACTTGAGCAGGAGGTAGTAATCGTAGAAACTACAAGAAGGAAGAGGATTGTGAATGCTATATATTAAGGATTATGTGGTCTCTCCATCTAGTGGTTTGGTGCTAGTTTCTGCTTTCCCTAACCAAGATGAATCTCCTCCATCCTTTTCCTTTCTTTGCTGGTTCTTTCCAGCATTCACCGACTTCCTCCTGAAAGAACAATCCGAAAACAAAATTTAGGAGTCTGCCCAGCTTGGTCAGTAAGAGGGAGTTGATGTTGTGAGGAAGGAGGACGAGGAGATGCTTGATACAATCAAGAGCAGGGCAAGTGTTGGGAGAGAATATAATGTCAACAGTAATATCATGTTGTTTTATCTCCCCAGGTACTAGTCGGGGACATGGGAACTGGAAAAACCAGCTTGGTCCTGAGATTTGTAAAAGGTCAATTTTTTCAGCACCAGGTATGCAAAGTTTTTTTGATGGTGAGGGTTGTATTTTTCTTCCATCAATTGCAGTCAAAGAACCTTGACATGATTTTTGTTTTTCAGGAACCCACTGTTGGTGCTGCTTTCTTTACTCAAATATTGTCTTTGCCTGAGGCCACTTTGAAATTTGATATATGGGACACTGCTGGACAGGAAAGATACCATAGCTTAGCTCCAATGTATTACCGGGGTGCAGCAGCAGCCATTGTTGTCTATGACATCACAAGCATGGTAAGTGTTCCTGTAACCAAAGCTGGGCTACTGAAGCAGATTATATCATCTGTTTATGGTTAAAATTGCCTCTTACTCATCATTTCATCTGTTATTTCTTCAAATTATAGCACTGATGATTGCTTGGAACAAGATATCTTTTTTTTTCGCTTTTGTTCTTTGATTGTAGTAATACTTAGAAAGCAATTAGCACAGATTTATCTTTGCAGGTTTAATCCCCATGTAGTTAGGCTTAGCTTAGCTTTCTCATGGATTTGATTTCGAATGATCTATCTTCAGGACACCTTTTTACGTGCAAAAAAGTGGGTCGAAGAATTAAAAAGACAAGGTGAACACATCTCTTTCATTAGTGATAGTCCATCTGTATTTCAATTTGTTTTCGTGTTGTCATTTCTCTAATCCAAATTTGTGTTACCATTATTATGATGAAACTTCCACCAACCAGCCCAGCCAAGTTCTATTTACCCTTTAAGAAGAACCACTGCTGCTCGAAAAGCAAGTGTATCTGGTAGCTTGTTTTCTACTGTCTTTCATGTATTTCTTTCAGGTAATCCGAATCTCGTGATGGCTTTGGTGGCAAATAAACAAGATTTGGAACCCAATAGGGAGGTCAACTTTGAGGTACTGATAATTTTTTCTTTTCTTCCTGTTCCAATCCTGCAGCAACAGTTTGATAAAAAGGCAGCGACCTTGAGTTGAATTTGGTCATTACAGGCACATAGAGCTTTGGAAATTTGTTACTTGATCGTAACTAATGGTGGTGCTTGATACATAATAATAATAATAATAATCTCGAACGTAAAAGCTTGTGAATTACTTTTAAACTTCTGCAGGAAGGCGAGCAATTCTCAGAAGAAAATGGGATGTTCTTCACAGAAACATCAGCAAAAACTGCCCTTAATATCAACGAGCTCTTTTATGAAATGGGTGAGTTATCATATCTAAGCTTAGCCTGCCAAAGCTTAATGAAATGTATTAACATTTCCATTTACTTGTTATCGTAAATCTACTTTAGGCTTGGCTAATCCTCCTAAACCTTCGCCTGAGCTTTTTCATCTTTGGCCATCTGCAGCAAAACGATTGGCAAAAGCAGCGCCTTTGCAGCCAACAGGAATACGTCTGCAAAGCAACACACGGAGTCGGAGAGCCTTTTTTTGTTGCTCCCGATGACATTTATTTTGTTTCTGCTGTCATGAAGAGCAATCCATTTCAACCCCATGCTTTTTAATGTTGAAAGCTGTTGATCGCTGTATTGAAGAACCATGTCAAAACTCGGCATTGTTGACTGATAAGAATTTAATTTTGATACATTATCTGATTTTTGTTTGGTGCTGATGAACTTAAAGAGCCAATAAACTCATTTGGATGAGAAGAAATGGAAAGAAAAGAAAAGATCAAGTAATGAGGTGATTCGGGATAATGGTGAGGCCACAAAATTTCCTTTGAACTCTGGAAAGAAATCAGACATGGAGAGAGAAGATCAAACCCAGGATAAAACTTTTCACGTCTACCAACGTAACACCAAACATCCCTTGTCTCTGCTGAGTCCCCAAACTGGGCCTTACCAGAACAGAAAGAGGAAGATTGGGACTCGAACAAACACGCAGAGGAGGGAATAGTTCCAGAGAAACTGTCGATTGATACAACAGTGCAACAACTGAATTATAACACTTCCATTTTAACAATGTATATATAACTTAAATCTCATTGATGTGGTTTATATTCGAGAGCTTTGAAAGTGGAAATCCAACTGTAGTTTACATACAGAAAATACAATAAAAAGTGCTCTTTTTCAGGTCTAAAATGAAACCGCTAATGAAGAGCTTCATGCAAGGTCACAAACTGCTTTCATTATTAACTCTCGCTTCTGCTACGCTTTTGTGAGATGGACCTCAAGTTCCTGTACATATCTGAACAAGCAAGAGAAAAACCTGACATAGCCAGGAAGAGATTAGGCAAACCGGTTCTCAGACTGGCTAAAGACTTCTCCCTAACCTGAATGCACTGCTTCTTGTATTCTGCTTCTTCCTCTTCCAATTTCTTCTCGAGTGTTTCCACCTGAATCTGCCTCTCAACGATTAGATCCTTATCTTGTGCCCTCTCTGGATCCAATTCATCAGGAGGCGTTCTTCGCTGCATATACTTACGATACCAATCCTTGAACTGTTCAGTTTTCTTGGCGAGCTCCCTTCGAGTATCCTCACACTTGTTTCTCAATTTCATCTCATCTATTTGATACTCCACTATATGATCTACAACATGAGCAAAATTATTAATAGCACTTCTAGCAAGCTCATCTGGAACCTTCTCCAGATAGTCATGCCAAGCATGTAAGAGCACACAGATTGGGGGATTGGCAGGTCTTTGTGGGGATGAAACCTTCTCCTTCAGATTTGTGTCTATGGGAATGAGGTTTAGCTTCAACCAATTGTTTAACGCTCTTATGTAGTCCAATTGGTTCTTGATGAGTTTGTCAAACTGCATATGCCATTCTTTGACAACAAGCAAAAGCTGGAATGTCCGTTCATGATGATGCTCACTTGTTTCTTTAGGGAATTGGGATATGTGCAGAGAACTTAGAGCTTGTACAATCTTAGACTGGCTTTCATGGTGTCCTCTCATGCTCTCCCACATAAAAGCCATTCTACAATTCATTCAAAACCAGCAAAGAAGTGCATAGAATTAGACAAAGCAAGCATAAGAAGTGACTAAGGAAATTATATACCATGTGTAGTAAACAAATTAATAAATCAGAGTTCAAAAGAAGATTCCAGGGTTCCAGGTTCGTGAACAATGCTCTAAAAGTGAGCTCCAAGAACTTCTCCAGATAAGCAGACACTAACTATCAGCTCCTGTATTCTCACATGTGGTAATCTGTTGTTTCTGACTTGCCGAATGAAATGGTTATATTCACTTGCAATTTATTGGGTTAACAACTCAAAATGAAACTTCTAACATGACATTGAGTCAAAACTGCACTCTACCAGTCTCTGTGCAAAGTTTCCATTCCTTGTACAAAAGTCAAGACAGCTGATCTTTCCCCTCCCTTTCTTCCCATATCCCCTCACAATTATTCTCTTACTGTCTGAGGTATGGTCCCTATAAACAGTCACTACTAGCTTCATTTGATGGGACAAAAGATGACAGGACAGAGAAGTAGAGAACAAATTTCCAAAAAAGCAAAGGTAAAAACTGCTAACTGCAAGGCATAAATACGTTTATCTGTATAAACACTTACCCATCAACAAGAGCCACGAGTTTTGGATACAGCTGATCATCACGCAAACGATTTATTTCTGAAACAGTTGAATCCATAGATTGCATGTCAACAATGTATCGAGTATGCAAATGACTAACAGCTGCTTTCATTCTCTCTAAAGCTTCTGTATTTGAGTCACGTTTCTTTAGTTTAGTCAATGAAGTAACCTTTCGTTGATATTCCAGTTTCATTTGTTCACCTGCCTGAAGAACATCATCGGTGCAACAATAATTCATTAGGAGGAAGCATCTGAGATTTGTACTCTTATTACATACTAATGTGACAAATGAGAGAAAAGTCCACAAGCACAACATGTATTATGGTCACAAATGGAAGAAAAATGAACCAGATATATATCAACTAAAAATTGGGTGGAGGGAACAGGTACAAACAAGAAAAGGCAGCAGCAGCATAAGAAAGCAAGCTAATCAAATTAAACCTAAGCAACTCATTGCTTTAGCAAATCGAACATATTGAATGACAAAACAAGAAGGAAAAATACAAGGCAAAATGATTAAAAAATGTCACCCCACATACTTTTACTTCATCATATAATTTTTTCTCCCAGGCAAGCATCTTGTCTAAAACTGTTGCATGGGTTTCATGCTCTTCCGAATCGAAGTCATCCTTCACATCATCAACATTTGACGAACCTCTGAAGGACCTATTCCATGTAATGACACGCATGACCCTGGCAGAATGATCAATATGTCCTACAAAACAATCACAACTAGTTATATTATCAGCCTAAAATTTCAATCACCTTTCTTAACTCCCAATAACACAGAGCAAGTGTGCAACTTGGTTTGCAACATGACAAACAATCAGAACACGAAGTCAACCAACTGCAGTTTCTCCTGCCCTAAACATTTTACAAATTAACTGCAGCATATCAATTTCTGGTGTCAATACAGGGATATACATGACTATGGTCACTTATGCAATGACATGCGTTGGATAAATGAAGCTGCAAACCATAGACCTTAGCATCGCTCTATAATGGTGAAACCCGTATCAAAATTAAATCTTTAGAAACAATTACAGAAAACTAGCTGATACAAAAATTGAATCCTTGAAACCCCTCATAAAAAATAGATTAAAAGAAACCAAAATATATGCATACCTCTATTATCAGCAAAATTTGAGTGATAATGCAACCGAGCCGCCTCAAGCATCTTGGATACCTCATGAGCACTCTCTGAAGCCTTAAGAAAACAATCATCCAATTCACTGAATATCTGCAGCAAGTTCACACTTGACCCACCCCTCCTTTTAGCATCAGCTGGAACAATCTGTTTAACTCTCTTCACCACCTTTGGAGGAGGGGCTACCTGAGGTGGCTGCGGTGGTAGCTCCGGCGCCTTTTCCACTTCCTCAACTGACTCCGCCTTCCCACCAGCACTCCTCCTACCTCCAACACTACCACTACCACTACCACTTCCACCACCTCCATCCCCGCCACCAATGCCGCCTTCAGCATCAATTTCACTTCTTTTAGCCCTTTCTTCTAACACCTTGCGTTCCAATTCCTCCCTCTCCACTCTCCCCTCATCCGCTTCAGCCAGAGTCGGCCCCGGAACATTCTCCATTGGCGGAAAAAAGAAATCCCACGAAGTCATACCTTTATGCTCCGGCGGAGGAGGAGGGGGAGGGGAACGATTCTGCTTCAAAGGCGGCGACGGTCGAGGCGGCGATGGCGGATTCCGCAATTCTTCATCATCCACGACCTCACTACTGCGCCCAATTCCACTCCTACTTCCAACCCCAGCGCTACTTTTACTACTCCGATGCTTCAACCCGCCATGATTACTCTCGGTTTCCATCTCATCTTCATTCTCCTCTTCCAAAATCGGGTCGGAGTGCTTCAAATCGCGTTTGGGGAAAGACATCTCGGGCATGGAGGCCGCACGCTGAATAGGGGGAGGGGGAGGCTGGTGAAAGGGGGGAAGGGGAGGGGGAGGAGGGGGAAGATGCTCGACGGGGGGCTGTGGGAGAGAGGCGGGTCCGCCATGGACGGATGAGGAAGGAGAGGAGGGATATTGGACTTCGCCGTGAGCATAATCGCTGAGAGCAGCTCCGGTATTCTTTAAGGCCATGGCGTAGGCTGAATGGGCAGCGGCAAAAGCGTTTCTTGCAGCGACGGCATCTTTCATATACTGCTTTCGTTCTTTGCATCGTGTTACGGTTTCTTCGTTCTCGATCCTTGATTGGTTGCACCCCATTTTCGCCCCCTCCGCCTCCGGTCTGCTAACTATTCAATTTTGCATAAACTAAATGAATGGATAGAGTTTGAAAGGGAGAGGAAAAGGGCCAAGGAGCTTTGATTCTTGATCCGTTTGGGAAGCGGAGCCTATTATTCTTCTTGCTATTGATGAAGAATTTGGGATCAGCGGAGAAGTGATCAGAGCAGACAAACTGAGGCAGAACCCCCTTTTCAGGTTCTGTTTTGTTTGGTGGTTTAGTGTTATAGACTCTCATTAGTAGCAAGGTAAATTTTCAAGAAATCACTCTTTGTTCCCTGAACTTTGGAGTAGTCACAAATTATCCCGTCCAACCTCAAAATTATGCATTTTATTCCCCATGAATAAGAATTAATTTTATATACACTACTAACATATATATTATCAAAATTTTGCTCATGTACATGTAGTCAACTGTGACAATATATATAAGATGAACTCTATGCAGAATACTCAAACTTATAAATCTTAACTCTAGCCAAAAAAGAAAAAAAAATGAGTGCAATGATAATAATAATAATAATAATGCCTTTTTATTTGTGAAATTATTTGTAACTTTACTATTATTTTTGCTTATTGCTAAAAGACACAAGTTTTTTTTTGTAATAACTACTATACAAAAAATCAAATTGATAAAATGTATAAGAAAAGTTTACTATCTTACAGGATTGATTTTCATTTTTATATACTTTTTTAAATTTATTAGACTTTAAATCAAATAATAATGATAAATAAATAATAATAATAATAAATACAGTTAGCAAAATTTTGAAGACATAAGGTGATATTGAGCTTGTTGTTCCAAAAAAAAAAAAAATTTAGCATTTTAGTTTAAG